ACCTAATTAAACTTGTCTAGATGATTATAAACGTTCTTAGCATTATTCTAAAGTGATTACTACCAAGTTTTCAACTTAAATTTCCAAGTTCAACAACCCAAGGACCCAATTTTGATTCTACCATTTTAAACATGACTTTACTCAGTTTTATGACCCTAACCTGTTCTAATTGACTCATACAAGCTAGCCACACTGTCCAATTACACTCAAGACCACCTATGCTCAAACTCCCTACCTCAGTTCTTCTCAAAGGACCAAAATAACAATACTCTCTTAACCTTTTACTCATCTACCACGACTAACACAGGATTTCCACCTCAACCACATCTCCCTAACCCAATTGGTCATCGGAGAAGAATCAGATGTCTGAACGCATCAGTCTCACCTTCGACGCCAGCACATATGACTAGTCACAACTGACTGGACCAGGCCAGGGCTGCTCTATGATCAGGGATGTGCCAACTCAGGTTTTTAAGATTCTTCTATCCTACCAACAAAGTGCTCTCAACAAGTCACAATTGATCCCTCCAAACTGTTTCAACACTGTAAATTCACCCTAGACCTCTTTTACTCAAAATCACTATGTCATTTCCCTTAAATTGACCTGGACTACTACCAATTTACTCAGAACAGTGCATACTTACCTTACCATCCATCTAACCCTCCTTTGATAGAACCCAAACCTTAAACTTATCACATTTGAAATATTGCTCGGTCCAACCAAAACCACAGTCACCAATTCACATCATAACAACTTACAACAAATACATTTTTACATGCACAATTTCCAGCATCACAACACCAGCCAATTTATACTCAACAGGTACATCAACAGGAACATAACAGTTTAATTCAACATACCAATTCAGGATTCAACATGCATATATCTCATAAATTAATTTCAAACAAAATAACTAGCTCCCCTTACCTCAGAGTGTATTTTCAAGCTCACAAGGACGCCCCTTTTTGGGTATCTCACACACGCGAACTCAATCCAAACCCTACAAACCACCAAAGTGGTGACAGCAACAGCTCTTAGAGCTTTATTTGGCAGAAACAGGAAAACGACACCCCCTAGTAACGTACAACCAGTACTGTTGCATGCTCTAGGTTCGAAGATAGTGAAAGAGAAGGGAAAAATGACTTACCGGTCCAAACGAAAATACGATCGGTTCAAAAGGAAGCCTTCGGTGTGGTGAACGTCTGAGCACCTTCCAACCCAAGATTGAACGGTTCAGAGAGTTGGAAATTTAGAGAGAAGACAGAGAAAACATTTAGGGCAAGGGTTTTAGAGAGAGGAAAGGAAAGAGCTCAGGAAAGTTGGAAAAGAATTCTGAGAGGACCTTCCTAAGGTTAAGCTGGCCTTAAGCTGATGGGCCTGGCTACCCCACATAGGACCCAATGGCCTTAAACTTTTTCAGGCTCTTACATTTATCCAATTAATATAGAGATTTTTCGTCACACTTATTCAAACACAGTATCGACAAAAATAATTTTATTTGTCATTGATAAATATTACTTCATAAAATTTGAGTAAAGGCTTTCAATTTCAAATAATAATGAATAAAATTAGGAAAAATGTAAAATAAAAGACCACGTGTGTTGATGATGGGTGACGTTGACGTTAGAAATTGACATACACAAATCGGACACGATGAGGCTAGATACACAAATATATTGCCGATTCTGCTGTATAATTGTTGAATTCCAACCATCAATTCTTAACGTGTAGTAATTTTTATTGAATAGTATTCTTTGACATTATAGTCATACTTTTAAAAATGATGGATCAAATTATTTTTATCGTCACTTAATATAATGGTTCAAATAACTAACATACATTTAATCATTATTTAAAAGAAAATTATAAATAAACCTCTTTAAATTATCTTTGGAGTAACTTTATATATATGTATATTAGTTTTAAAGTATATTATTATTATTAGTATGTAGTATTTACACTACTAATAAAGATAATCGCAATGTTGATGGTGATAGTTTTTAATAATGATAACAATATGACCATTGTAACTATAATGGTTTTGTGTTAGCTTATAATAAAAACATATAAATCACATAATTTAAATTAGCTTAATTGAAAATTAGTTGTTATCAAAGTTGATTCAATAACAAAGATGGTATAATAATAAGATAATTTGGCAAAAGAAAAGTGTAGATAATAATTGAAGTATATTTCAACACAAAAAGTATGTTGGGGAAATAAACGCGCGATTAAGGAATAATAATTCAGATATGGCTGCTGGCCGGCGGAATAGGATTAAGGGGTATGTTCTTAATAATATCTCTTTAGAAAAGCTTTTATAAATAAATATTTTACTCTTTTTCAGAAATAAAGCTACACATAAAGTTTTACACTTACATGCCAACACATTGCAATAAACTTAGAGCTACCTAAAAGAATTTAAGAGCTTGTTATTTTGTTTTCTTTAACACATATTATTATTAGTTAATTCATTCTTTTAATATATTTTAATTTTAAATTTATCATTTCAGATTAATTTTATTTTTTATTTTTTGATTTTTGAAACAAGATAATCTACTTTGGTTATATGGGAAGCTTATTAATAAATATATGAATTCTTCATTACATCATGATATTATTAACTATCCAATGAGACAAAATCTCAAAACTAACAAGTTCTTGGACATCATGATTATTTATTTTCATTTTTTATTTTTGTTGTAATGTATGATAAGTATAACATTTTTGTGAATGTGGAGATGGATACAATACAATGTAAGATCCAGTTTACGTAAACTAATATATATGATTTCAAAGTATATGTAAAATAAAAATGTATTTTAAAAAAATTTATAAATATATTTAAAATAATTATTTTTTATTTATCATTAATCCAAATATTTTACTTTCTAACTAAGATTTCGGGCTCAGCAGTAACATTTTTTAATAATCATATATTGCACCACCGAACAGACAGTAGTGAATAAATACATTTTGGAAAATAAATAATTTTATTATGTAGTACGTCAACAAATTTCATACCATTTAAAAGTTAAAATAAATAAATAAATTATACATATGTTCCTCTTTTAATTCATTAAAATACCTTTTGAGATGAAATCATAATAAACCCACTATAGAGAATACTTTTAACATTTAAATGTAGTAATTAATCAAATTGATACTATTTTAATAAACTTGATATTGGAACAGCTATTTAATATATTATAAAAAACATAATTATTTATTTTTTTAACTTTTTGAGTTTATTATTTTATTTCTTTTGGATATCATACATTGTTATGTGATTTTTCTTTTCATGTTTTAATGTAAATTAGGTCAATTGGGATCAACATAAAAAGAAAAAAGGAAATATTTAAGAAGACGTCCTCAATCATAAAGAAAAATAATTAGATTAAATGTAAAAGTAACTAAATTCTAATTATTTTTACTTTATTTAAATATAATCTCCAAAAATCAACTTTGAATCAATATAAGTTTAAAATTTTAATCAAAGAAAATATTTTTTATAGGAAAAAATAATAAAATTGTTGCTAATTAACTTGAAAATTATATATATATATATATATATATATATATATATATATATATATGTATGTATGTATGTAGGTATGTATGTATGTATGTAGGTATGTATGGAAAGAGTTTTTGATATGATAAAATATATAAAGAAAACGATGAGTTAAAAACTATTATCTATGGATACAATATCATATATGATTTGTATCTTATATGTTGATATATTTATTATATGATACTAGTGTATGTATATTGAAAAGTCTATAATAATTATTAAAAATAAAATAAATATATAATAATTATTGTATGAATTCAAATTAAAAGCATATATTAATATAAAAGATTCAAAATTTTATAAATTAAATATTTTATTAATAAATATTAATAAAATATCATATACGAATATCTGTCAAATACATATCCATAATCCAAATTGAACTATCGATATATCATTACAAATACTTAAACTATTTATTTCTACTGATTCCAATGATTATTTAAGAACACCTATGCAAAATTTATTGGTGCAAATATAAAAATGAAAAGTAATTGGCATTACCATGACTTTAGCTTAACAAATATAATAATAAGATGGTAAAAAGAAAAAGAGTGAAAAATATAAAAGTAGTACTGTTTGTGAATTGACATCAACACGTGCTCACGTATGGACAAAAGGAATGGAGTCCTCAATTTCAAGTTTGTACAACAGACATCAGATCACACCATATATAAGTAGTGTTCATGGAAATCACTTACACTCATCATATCATCTTCTCAATCAAAACCACATGCCAAACACCACTCAGCAATTCCCAATCAACAACATCAACTTCAACAAAGATTCCCTGCATGTTTCCCTTCGCAACCTCTCCCAACTCAGCACACGAATGGATTCGCTTCAGAGCTTTGTCTCCCAATCCATTCAATCTCACACTCTCCTCACACACCACCAAATGAACATCGTATCCAACGAGATCCTAACCGCAATTCGCCACGTCATCACCAACGGCGCAGCCTTAGTCGCAGCGTCGGAGGACGTGCTTTCCCTTTCGGAGACTCCCACGTCCGAATACTCTCCCAACCAAACAAACGTGGTGGAGCTGGACGCGATGGAACTCCTGGCGCAGCACCTCCACTTCTGCGAGGTGTGCGGGAAGGGCTTCACGCGCGATGCCAACCTTAGGATGCACATGCGCGCCCACGGGGACGAGTTCAAGACTGCGGACGCGCTCTCGAGCAGGGCGCGTGGCGAGAAGCGTGGGAAAACGACGCGGTTCTCGTGCCCCTTCGAAGGATGCAACCGCAACAAGACGCACAAGAAGTTCAGGCCGTTGAAGTCGGTGTTCTGTCTGAGGAATCACTTCAAGAGGAGCCACTGTCCCAAAACGCTGTCGTGCGAGCGGTGTCGGAAGAAGAGCTTCGCGGTGCTCTCGGACTTGAGGAGTCACATGAAGCAATGTCGGGGAGAGGCCACGTGGAAGTGCTCGTGCGGAACCACGTTTTCGCGGAAGGACAAGTTGTTCGGACACGTGGCGCTGTTCGAGGGGCATTTGCCTATGCTTGAAGAGGAGAAGGAGACCTCGGCGGCGGCGGCGGCGGCGGTGGTGGAAGGGTTGGTGAAGGAAAGTGACGGTGGTTTGGATGGGTTACCTGAAGGGTTCTTCGATGGGTTGGATGAATTTGGGTTTGGTTCCACTGCAAGCACCTCTTCACCGGAAAAAACTTCGCCTTGGGGTTTCCCACAAATAGAAACTCATTTCTAATTTAATCAAAAGAGATTTATTGCAAGTATTTTATGTACTTGTTAAGAAAAATAAAAAGGAATAAATAATAGAAAAAGATCCTTGTTCATCGAACAAAAAAAAATTACCTTTTTTCAAAATTTGGAGCATATTAATCTAAAACCTAATTAACTTGGAAACACATAATTTTAGGATAAATAACACAATAGAAATGTTGATGATGATTCACTAACATACTTTCTATATTAAATTTAAACAAACAGTATTCAATAAGCAAGAAGTCAGACTCACAGTTTTAAAACTTAGAGAAACTAGACTCAAATACAATTGATTTAAAATTTTTAAATTCACACAACAGAAGGGATATTTAATGTCACAGTTTTATATAAAATTTTGTTATAGCAAAAGTGATATAAAGAATATGTTAACATGTTGTTAGTAAAATGCGACTTATTTTTAAGAAATCATTTTAAATTTCGATATTATGGATACAAAAAATATAGTTAAAGAAATAGTTCGTGATGACTAATAAATTTCTCAAACGTATTAATGAATATTTAACATCACAATAATAAAATAGAAATTTTTATATAATTTTTTTAATTAAATAACAATGTAAATAAACAACAAAAATTTACACTTTGTGATTAAGATTTAAAATCTTGTATTCTAGGGAAAATAATGAATATCACGTGGATTTTCATTTTTCTTTTACAAGAGTCAGTCCTTTTTATGGGTTGATTGATCCATCGTCAATTAATAAACTCTCTTCTCTTTCTTGTAAATAAATCGTTTAGTCAAAATATTTTTAAAATAAACTAATAATTTATGTAACATTTCGTTTGAACTTTTATAGAATTACAAGAACAGAACCAACAATATAAAAAACAGTCAACTAATGATTAATGAGTAAAATTCTTTTGCAAAATGTAAATAAATGAACCATATTTTGTTTTCTAAAATATAGTCGAGATTTCATTAAACAATCATGGAAATGTGAACTCCCTTATCTTCTTTCCTAATAAACCTTATTGTAAGTTGGAGTGGGGATCAATCAAATTTTCACACCCATGAAGATTCCAATTCTAATAATCAAGAGTTGAATTCCTTACTTTCCCAAACACGCTTTTGTTATTTGCTTCAAATACGAAATTGTTCAACCCTAAAGACTCAACAACAAAGTTTAATGTCCAGAAAAATGACCCCAAACTTCACCTTTTTGCATATTCAATCAAAATTGTCTTCGATAAATTTTATAGCAACAAGAATTCTTCCACCTTCATGCCAAATACATAAATCAATTCCAATGAAATCTTAAAAAATATATATTTATTGCTGTTAAGTAGACAACTTCACGACTATTGAATGGATCTAATGATTTATTTACATATTTATTGTTTATAAACTTTTGTTTTCATAAAACAAATATAATGACAGTATCATACATCATTC